TGTATTATCCAGATAATGGCGGAACTCGTATGTGGGAATGCTTTCACGGGAATACAGTTTTCGTCCTTATATGAGAAGATTTTGATCTAAATAGGTGTATATTCAAAAGAGGAAAGTTCGATGCAGGGCGATCTGGTCACTGTTTGAGTCACAGAACTGTTTTAGTGACCTAAAAAATACTTGGAACTTGCTGATGTATTTTCTCGATTTTTCCTCTACTTTGGACACTCATATTATTAGATATCAACACAATTTCGTTGAACCATGACCAGACCGCGCTGCATTGGACCTTCCTCCTTCGAATGAGCCCTCACCCAGCCCCAAACCTTGTCATATAAGGACGATAAGTGTATTCCCGTAAACCCCTTTTTAGGGGATTCAACGAGATTGTGTTGATATCTAATAATATGAGTGTCCAAAGTAGAGGAAAAATCGAGAAAATACACCCGCAGAATCCAAGTACATTTTAGGTCACTAAAAGAGTTTTGTAACTCAAACGATGACCTGAGCCCCTACGTTGAACTTTCCTCTTTGGAATGAGCCGGCACCCAGCCACAAGTCTTCTCATATAAGGACAAATAACCGATTCCCGTAAATTCCTTAATAGGCTCATTTTTGCCGGTAATGTCACCTCGCTGCATTACCCGTACAAATTGTAATACTTTAGATGATTCATTCTCTATAGTTAAATCTTATATAGAGTAATTTGGTTTTCTTTGTGTACTTTGTATATTATATTTTTTGTAATCTTTATTTTTTAAAAATATGTTTGCATCGTTCCAGTAAATTATTTAAATTCTAGTAACATGAATTTATTATTTTATAAACTTCACAGAGAATCATTTTACAGCATAAAAATGTATAGTCTCATTTAAAAAGAAATTGCTTAAAAATTCTGTTTATTGTCTTGCAATTAAAAACAAGCGTTATTGAGAAAAATAACTGTAATTAAATGTAATTAATATAGGTTCTTTTTCTATTACTTTTTTTATTTTTATATTAAAAAATGGATATCAATTGTTTTTTTATAATTGTAGATTTCTTCAAAATGAAGGAGTTATAGTATTAGGTGCAACAAATAGGCGCGACGATTTGGACAAAGCATTAATGCGACCTGGACGTTTTGATGTTGAAGTTGTTGTCGATGTACCGGATTACATGAGCCGAAAAGAAATTTTTGATTTATATCTATCAAGAATATTAACAAAAGATGTTGACTCGGAATATTTAGCAAGATGTACTGTTGGATTTACTGGAGCTGATATAGAGAATATGGTACCATCTTGTCGGATATGTTTTAATTATGCGAATAAAATATATATTTTAAGTTAATTTTGATATTTGTAAAGGTTAATCAAGCAGCTTTGAAAGCAGCTATAAATGATGCAGAATATGTGACGATGAATCACTTAGAATATGCTAGAGACAAATTAATCATGGGTCCGGAAAGAAAATATAAAATCAAGGATGCTGAAGCCAATCGTATCACAGCATATCATGAAGCAGGACACGCATTGGTTGCGTTTTATACTACAGACGCGCCAGCAATACATAAAATTAGCATCATGCCTCATGGACATTCTTTAGGGCATGTAAGTGTTAATTCATAACACTAATTTATAAATTTTACAATATTATTGTATGTTTAATATCTTTCTTCAAATACAATGTATATACTTCTTTCAGACAGCGTTTTTAGCTACCAAAGATGAAGTTCACGTCACAAAATCTCAGTTATTAGCTCAGATGGATTGTGCAATGGGTGGTCGTGCTGCAGAAGAATTAATTTTTGGACCGGACAAAGTAACATCAGGAGCATTAAGCGATTTCAAGGTTCTTTTAATTTGTTTATACAGGGTGTTTCACTCGATTTTAACATCTTGATTTCTTCGCCATTATTACTCGTACCGGAAAATGTTTCAGTCGAGAATTGGATGGTGTTGAGTGGGGCATAATGTGATGTTATTAGTTCATTCGTTGGTGGATGCGTAAAGGTCATATGAACGACAACTTTGTTTTTTAAAATAAAATTATATACATTTTATTTTATACTATTCTTCATAAAAAAGTATTTATTTATGTTGAAAAATTAGTAGTTTAGGTGATATTTCAATTTAAATAATTTTATAGGATATCGTTATTGTCACACTAAGCATCTGCTCTGTATTCACCGACGCCGACGTTAGCGTAACATAAACGCTATTTAAATTGAAATATCTCCTCAACTGCTAATTTTTTAACATAAATAGGTTAATATTTTTTTGTAAGGAATATCCAACGGCGTCGATTGATGCATTAAAAAGTATATAATTCCATTTAAAAAAACAAAGTTGCCGTTGCCAAAAAACAAACATGACCTTAACACGTCCACCTGTGAATGAGCTAATAACACCACATTGTGCCTCACTCGACACCATCTAACTTTAATCTGAAACATTTTCCGGTTCGAGTAATAATAGCGAAGAAATCAAGATGTCAAAATCGAGTGAAACACCCTGTATATTAGCATATACAGAACTCTTATTTTTTGCAGTTAATATATAGTCACATGGTAGTCAATTTCAGTTTAATACAAGTTTTATATTTATAGACAACATAACGATAAAGTGTATTTAAAATATAAAATAATGTTAACAATTATTTTTTAGGGAGCAACTACCATTGCTGAGAAAATGGTAAATTTATACGGTATGTCTGAGAAAGTTGGTTTTGGAGTGCGAACAATGAATGAAAAGGAAGGATATAAACCAGGTCCTTCGACGATTGATCTCGCTGACACTGAAGTCAAATGTCTATTACAAGTAAATTTTTTCACTGTATATTAAGTAAATAATATATATATTTTAAGTTATACATTTTAAAAGTTCTTATATTTTAGGAATCATATGACCGTGCAAAAACAATATTACAAAAGCATGCGAAAGAACTTAAAAGATTAGCAGATGCGTTACTTAAATATGAAACATTAAACTATAAAGATTTAAAAGCTGTTATTAACGAAGAAAAATTTCCAATTGAAACATTAAATAATCAACCGCGAATTATAGAACCATCTGAACATGTATTATAACTAGTATACAGAAATTCAGTTTAAATGGTAATTAAAATAAATTATTTGTTGCAATATCACATTTTATAATTACACTTTATATTACTGGATTATATTAACAAATATTACATATATACTGAATTATTAAATTTCTTTTAAAATGTATTAGTTTCACAATTCTTCATAATGTGGTAGTTTTAGTTTCTTGTCACTGACATTTTTAATATACATATATCAGATTTTGTATAATATTTCTTGTAAACTTATTTATGTACAAATAGTCTCGACTGAATCATATATCATAATAAAAAGTAGACTAAGATGCATAGAGAAAAGTAAAATGTACATAATCATATACAGGGTGTGTTATAATATGTGGGACTCATTCAGGAGTAGATAATAAGCACAAAAACAATAAAAAAGTTCTATAAACACGTGTCCTATTTGATCTTGTTTCGAAATTATAGCCACGTTTATATTTCAACAATCCACAAGTACTTGCCTTTATAGAAGGCACTCGAAAAGATTGTCCTCGGTCTGTATGCAAGTCATCGTATCAATGAATTTCGAAATTTTTAAAAAATTCTAAGTGTACGTCAAATTTGCTGGCAGTCTTGTTACATACGTGCAAGGAATATAACACTGTCAACAACATAAGTAGTTGCAGATTATTGATACACAAAATTGATCATAATTTTGAAACATGGTCAAATGGGACATATGTTTACATGCACTTTTTCCATTGCTTTTGTGTTTCCTGTCTACACCTGAAGTGGGTCCCACATATTACGAAACACCCTGTATAATTTTATAATTATGTATTTTAGAGAATTTTATTATATTCTTTTAAACTTACTAAATATATCTTACAAATATAACTAAATTATAATTCTAGACAAAAATTTGTATTCTTCAATTACATAAACAGTATGTATATAATGTCCTTATTACATTATACATATTTTATCATTTGAAATATCAAATAAGTGTCAGCCATACGAGTTCACTTGATTGTATTTTGGTTACTAATATTGTAATAAAGTTCTTTTTTTACATTAAGATATTAGGTGTACAAATTAAATTTGAATGTTTTTCCGCGCTTCTATGGTATTTTTAGTACTGATAATAAATAGCGCCAAACTATCAATATCAATGACGATTACTTAAATAATGGAAGTTACTATAATTTTATAAAAATAAATTTTTAATTAAATAAAACACAAGGACTGAATTAATTTGTATACCTAATAATTTTGTTTCTAATTGTACGTCAATGAAAAAAAATTAAGAATTGTTTACTGCAAGTATGTATGTATGTATGTATGTAGGTACGTACGTACGTATGTATGTATGTATATACATACAGTCACAGCCGAATCTAGCACTGTTCGTTGCAGCTAAGTTGCCGTCCAATCAAATTCGTTGACCTACCTCCACTCACACGTATTCACAGCCGACTCTAGTATTAGCCATGCTGAACAACGTGGCAACACCGCTCACGTGACAATCGGGAGTCCTATTTTCAAAAACAGAGTCCTGTGCTCGGAATTGTAATTAACGTCTTTTTTAATTAAAAGCTGTTGTAATATACACTATATTGTATTAATTATGTATAAACAATACATAAACGTTGCAACTATGGCAAATAGAAGTGATGTGGTAGTATAAAATTGTTATAAATGTGATATATACTTTGTGTACTCTCAAAGTAGTTTGGTGTTGTGAAGCATGATATTTGAAATATTTACAGTGGTTTCAAGAAAATTTAGGTATGAAGCAAAATGAAACCATCTTTGGATCAAATTGAAACATTTAAGAATTGATGAACGTGTATATAAGTTAATAAAAACCTTGAAACAAGCGAAATTATTGGAACGAAACCAAAAAGGTTATGTGAAGTCCAGAGAGTAGTCGGGAGTCTGACGACGTTGATTGGCTAAGAGTCCGGGAGTCCGGGAGTCCGGGAGGCAGATAGAGTAGGCTAGGTGTTGATATATTCAGACCGGACTCCCGCGGTGTTGCCATTTTTACTTCAGCACGGCTAGTACTAGAGTCGGCTGTGGTATTATATTTATTGGCCGAGGCCACCGACAAGATACTGTTAAAGACTGCCATCCTTATGGGAGGTTGCGGCGGCGAAAAAATTCGACGTTTTCTTACGCCCTCTAGAATATATTGCGGCCGCAGTAAGAAACAGAACCTGAATCAGTGGGTTTACCGACGACGAGTATCGGTGCCGAACTGTATCATGAGATATGAGATGATATATTATCTGGTCGATGCTATTATTATCTTTTCGGTGATTCGAGTTAAGTTCGTTTTACAAACCTTTCGGAGATACTTTTCAAGACGTCAAATATTTTAAAGGAGGTAACTTAATAACCCTCTTTAGTTCATTGGAAATTATTTTTTTAATAAATGACGAACTCTAGTTCTAAGTGTAAAGTATGTGTTTTTAAAGTAAATAAATATTCATTTAGAAAAAATGATAAACAGAAAAAAAAATTAGAAAAAAAATTATTTTCTTCTAATTTCATGTAGAAATCATTTAGAAATAAAAATGAATAAAAAATATTACATAGGTTCTGTAGGATATAATCAATAATACTAATAATGTAATAATCATAATAATCATCATAATATAATAAGTAACAGGTGTCGAAAAGAAGAGAAATGTATTTGAATAAAATATTTTATTTAATAGTAAGTAGAAGCTGGATAAGTGCAACATCGCTATCCTCTCCACTTGTGGAGATCCCCCGAGGCGAACCGAGACGCTCGACCAGGAAGCCGTGTAATATGATCTGAACCGTAATATCGGTGTGACTAATACTAATTCAACGATAAAACTTTTCTATTTTTAACTTTTTCTTAATGAAATTTTTACTAACGCATTGGTGAGATTTTTCTGATTAAAATGATACCAAACACGATATAGTTTGAATTATATTTATTTATTTATTCAGAATATGCTGCGATAATGCCATGAATTATCGGTAATGAACAAGAGCCGTTATTCCATGTATGATTGTGAGTCGAGCAACACACGGTGCGATTGATAGCAAAAATTGTAAAAGTAACTAAGTCGCGGTATTTTCAGTGTTAGATTTGTATTCCACGAAAAAATAAATATCTAAAATTACCACAATAGTATATACAAATTTATCCACTGCTTGACACAGTCTGCGACCTTTCAGAATATTCGGGGTCTGTTTTCTGTTATAAAGTCTTGCCATAAAACTTTGAAAAAGAAAGGATAGTCAATGATGGGCCATGATGGGGTATGTGCGGGCAATGACGCATTCAGAATTTGTTCTTGGAGGGAGCTAAGTTGAACGAATAAAAATATTTTTAATACAAAAAACAGTGTTATTAATATGTGACATAAACAGTAATACTAATTTAATTAGGAACAGATTTTGGAAAATTTTCTGTTGTTCTCCTTCCTTTTTCTTTGGGGGATGTTAGAGCCCCTTAGCCCCCCCTTGAGTGCGCCAGTGTCAGCGCGGGGTATGTAAGGACGCGAACTTTCAAACGTTTGGCACCTTCGACTCTGTTCACCACATGGCAGAATAAGGAAATACACTAAGCGCTTAGTATGTCATTCTCTGTTAAAAATGCCTACTTCCGCTACCTGTGAAAAAGGTAAAAATGCCCACCTGTTAACAGTATGCTAAGAGACGAATCTCTGTTAACAGTTAAATGATATTTTTGCTTTGAGAATCATTATTTTATAAATATAACAGTAATTTTCGAATTATTTTTTATTCAATTCTTCTATTTTTTTTCACAATGTTACATACCAAATATTCTTATTTTTCATATATTTATTTAATATCGATTATTACAATAATTGTATTATTGTATTTTAATAAGAATGTAATACAATTATAAGGTAAAATATAATTGTTTTCCAAGCAGCATCGACGAGATAATTATTGTACTGTGACAAAGCTAAATCATCTCGCTGGTGGTATAACAGCTTTTTTCGGCGGTACAATGGGTAATATCACTATTCTACATTATCCATCATTCCTATTTACCGATCGTACCCCAGGCCCACTGGGCCCACTTGGCGTGCCGAACTTTAACACAGGGGATGGCAGTCTTTAACAGCATCTCGTCGGTGCCGAGGCTCTTACATCCACAAATCTATCGCGTGACGAACGTCGCTAAGGACAGACATTGAAACAGAATGAGGGGTCCACCCCAAAATCCCGAAACCCAAAATCCCGACACCCAAAATCCCGACAGCCCAGAATCCCTACAGCCCAAAATCCCGGCACCTAAAATCCCGCCAGCCCAAAATCCCGACACCCAAAATTCCGACCTCCAAAATCCAGACAGACCACCGTGGTAATCACGTCTTCCGAATTTTGGGATAATACCACGACAATTCCAGATGTAAACAAAAAACAAAACATCCCACTCGAGTTGAACAGTAACATATTAAATTCGTTTTGATGACTGGGGGGCTCTGCCTAACTAATACCAATACCCATTTTTAGTATAAGGAAATAATAAACACAATTTACAAAGTAACATATTTATTGGTATCAATTAGTGTAGTTATTGGTGGGGGTCTGGGGGGCACAGCAAAGCGAATTTAATATGTTACTGTTCAACCGAATATTTTCTGTTTCGTCGAGTTTTCACCGTGCACAGTGAACGCGTACATAAAATCTTTAAAAAAATATTTATTGACATTGGTTTTGTTGATGCGCTGCCATAATAATATTAAATATGATGTCTTTTAACTGTAAGAAACCACACAAAAAAAATCAGCTCGATTCTGACAGGAGTTACACTTCCGAATATTTATCATAAATACACAAATCTAACCTAACCTAACCTAACCTTACAAAAAGTTACACAGAATTAGCCTAACCTAATCTTCCAAAAAGTTTCACAAAACTAACCTAACCTAACTTAATAATAAATGCTAATAGTAAATCCACAAATCTAACCTAACTTAACTTGACGAAAATACTTCGTACTACACCAGTGTGGCAATAGATACACAAAACTACTCTAAACTTATGAAAAATACTCAAATCTAACCTAACCGAACACAAACTTATGAAAGTCACTAAAAACCAACCGAATCCGACATAACCTAACTTCTCAGATATACGCGGTACTAACCTAACCTAATAAAATGTACACAAAATTAACCTCACGTGTGCAAAGAACCACAAAATCAAACCGATATAACCTAAATACCAAAAACTAACTCAACCACGCCACACAACAAAACTTTCTTTTTTTTTATTCGTGGGGGAAATCTTCCAAAGACGCCCCCAGTCCCCCTGGGGAGGGGCCGAGGGTAGTGCCGGATTTTTACCGGCTAAAACCCCTACGGTGACCCGCACTGGGCGTAAGGAAGGGCCCCGGGACCTCTAACGAACAACACCGGGACCCAACCACCCTTGGCGTATAGCGCCCCATCACGGGGGAGGGTCTAACCTTTGACCCCACCCCCCCTAGTGCCATCTCCGCCGACGGCGCACAGTGGGACAAAACGGCTTTCGGCGATCAAAATTCTGTAACTTCGGTTCTATTGGAAATATTTGAATGAAATTTTGGGAAGTTTTTGCCTACATTATGGTACATAAGTTGTATCAATACGAATCATATTGAATTACAGGGTGTCAAAATATTCACAAATAAAGTATAACGCGTTCACTTGTTAGACATATTTTATGTCATTTAACAAAAATTTGACTCAAAACTGTTAATAACTATAATAAAAACGGATTTAATAATTAAAAAATGACAAGACATGTGTTATTATAATATATTTATTTATATTTATTATGATCTATACCAAATCATTCGTGAAAATAGTTTCGACAATTATGAAAATTTATTATGGCATATTGCAAGGCCGAAATAAAGTTTTGGATAACGAATATACACGTCGAATGCAGTTAACTGGATAATAATCGTATCTGGTACTGCTTTTCCATCATCGTGCGCTGTGGCCAAGATGGGTGTAGTTTATTTCAATCGCCATTTTTTTGAGCAGTGGCAGGTTGGGGCAGCCGTTTTTTTCTGATTCTGATAGAGGAAGGTTCACTCTTTACTACAGTAATAATCACACACTGCACAAGTGTGCACATTTCTTTTAAATCAAACGCAAAGTTGAGATTTTAGTTAAATGTATTTCGTTTCAATCAGATCCTATTATTTAAAAAGTTGTTAACATTTTAACTTATTTTATGCACTGAATAGCATCTATACTAAACTTTGTAATTCATTTGAATTTTATCTTACCGAGTAAAATTTATTAGAATCGTACATTGAAGTTATGGGTAATATTATCAGCGTTTCGTCTTGACGAATTTCTACTGACTTTGAGTGCGAACCACGGCAAAACGGAAAGAAATATGAAAAAAACGGATTACACTACGTTAAACTACAGTTTATTCTCTATCGATGTATGTAATTAGTTTTTCAATTTTCGAATTCACGAAAATCGAATTTTGATCGCCGAAAGCCGTTTTGTCCCACTGTGCGGCGGAGGCCACACCCGACGCCGGCTACTCCTCGGGCCGCGTGCAATGGTGACCGGGGCCCCAGCTCCGGCCACCTGCGGCCCAGCGACTCCGCAAGAAGCCGCCAATCTACGATGGTGGAGAGGGGCAAGCCCCTCCCCCCTCCTATTCCCCTGGGGGAGGCCGGAGCCTCCCCCCACTACATCTAATCTGGGGGGGAAACCGAAGCTCCCCCCTATCCCATCACCCTGGGGGAGGCCGCGGCCTCCCCCCACAACATCTACCTTGGGGTGAGAGTCGAAGCTCCCCCCCTAACCCTGTTGGGGGCGGTGGGCAGGATTATCAAGGCCCACCGCTCCGTTCTCCTCAGCTTACTGTACCGGCTCTCTCCCTACCCCGCTGCGCCTCTTCCTTCATGGCGATGACCTCCTCGCAGAAGGAGGTCATCGCCCTCCACTGATCCTCGCCGGCGAGCATATTTCTTACCACGCTCGCCAGCAAGAGATCCGCCCCCAACTCGCACCGCAGGGCGTGACGAGCCCGCGCAAACACTGGACAGGGCCCATAGTTTTGCTCGACGAGGTCGGGAAGCTTTTAGAAAGCGTTATAGCTGACCGCCTCGCCGAGCACCTATCCCGGGTAGGCCCTGATCTGGCCGAGTCGCAGTACGGCTTTAGACGAGGGCGCAGCACCATTGATGCGATCGATTCGCTGCGCTCCCAATGCGACTCGGCCACATCCCGGGGCGGGGTGGCGATCGGTATTTCGTTAGACATAGTGAACGCCTTTAACACCCTGCCCCACGGGACGATACTGCGGGCACTGGAAGATCACGAAGTGCCCCCGGTACTGAGACGGATGATCGAGGCTTATCTGCGGGATAGGTCAATCATGTATATGGGCCGGGACGGACGTGTCTATCGGAGGGACATCGACGAAGGTGTACCCCAGGGGTCCCGTTTGGGGCCCCCACTGTGGAACATGGGGTACAACTCAGTTTTGCGGGTCGTGGTCCCGGACGGTGTCAGCATCACGTGCTTTGCAGATGACACGTACGTGTTTGCCACCGACCGGGACTGGAGCAGGACCAGTCGTCTTGTGGAGATTGGTATGGCTGCCGTCGCAGCTGCGGTCCGGAGACTGGGGCTGCAGATAGCGCCCCACAAGACCGAGGCGATGTGGTTTTACTCGCCTCGGCGTGGGGTTGCACCACTGCCCCAGTTTTGGATCCGGGTAAGTGACACCAGAGTCCAGGTGGGTGAAGGGTTCAAGTATCTTGGCCTCCACCTGGACAGCCACTGGCACTTTGAGAGGCATTTCGACCGTCTGTTCCCCCGATTAGACGGGGTAGCAATCGCCCTTGGGCGGGTGCTGCCCAATATCGGGGGGCCGAGCGAGAAGGTTCCCCGCCTTTATACGGGGATCGTGCGGAGTGTGGCCCTATATGGGTCACCCATATGGGCCTCGGCCCTAATGGCGTCTCGCCGCAGCCAAGCTGTGCTGCGGCGAGTGGTGAGGAGGATGGCCATCAGGGTCGTGAGGAGATACCGCACGGTCTCCCACGCGGCGGCGATGGCTCTGTCGGGTCTCGTACCTTTTAAGTACGAGGCGGAGGCCAGCGCCACGATTTTCTGGCAGGAAAATTCCTTTCTAAGCAGGACCGGTCGTCCAACCTTCCACTCCCTCCTTGAGGCAGGCGCTGAAGAGGCGTCTCAATCGCGGTCCAAGTACGCGGAGGGCCAATACCCAGGCTCGGCCGGGGACGCCGTCGTGGCCCGGAGCGGTGTTCCGAGCCCTCATGCGTTTAATTGCCCCGGCCAGCTCCCCCTCTGTGACCCCCATGTCGTCGGTCCATTCCACTTCGACCGGCGGGGGCCAGAGGTGGCTACCGTCGTCACGAAGGAACAACGTGTCTACCACCTGGCCCAAGAACTGGGGGTCGAGGCTCTCCGTCACGGGGGGCGCCCAGGGCCTTAGTTTGTCCATCGCCCACATATAAGGGCGCCCCCACGGATCGGCATCCAGAGATCCGAGGAGCTCCTGCCATGCCCGGGACTTGGCCTCCCTGATGGCCAGCTGTAGGGCTACCACCAATACACGGTAGCACCCGTACAGCTTTTTCTCCCCCGCTGGGTCGCGATTCCTTCTCCGACGGGCCCTTTGCCACTGGCGTCGGGCGACGTTGCAATTCTGCCGAATGTCGGCGATTTCGCCCGACCACCAGTAGGCGGCCCGTCTGGGGCATGGCGACGTCACAGATCGCCTTCATCGGGCCCCGGAACCATTTAACCTTATCCCCTATATCGTAGGGTATAGTCTCCTCGCCGTAAACGTAGCAGCAGTCGGACTGGTCCACTTCGCAGGTGCACTTCTGCCTCACATGGCCTTTTTCGAGGCAGCGGAAACACTGCAAGGACCGCGCCGACAGCGCCGGCGGCGCCATCCTCCCGGAGGCGGCTAACTTACTCAGCGCCGTCAGGGGGCATTTGGCCCAAACAGTGCCTAGCCTAGCCGGGGAGATGAGAATCTCCCCGACCTTGACGTCGGCTGGGCCACAACCCCCCACAGCGGCCAAAGCTGCCGCAACCACCACTGGGGACACCGAGTCGTCCAGTCCGGAAAGCCTCATCTCGCCCATTTTCATGGGGCGAGACGCGGAGACCTGGCTCCTGGAGAACTCAACGACGCCGCAACCACCTTTTCGCCTCTCCGACCCAGGCCCTGCCAGAATCCGTAGATCCCACCGGCATCGCCCCGGGTCATCTGCGAGGCTACTTCGACAGCAGCAAGCGCCCCTCTTTTAGTCGCCTTGTACGACAGGCAGGGGTTACCATGTCTATATTCTATCCCCCAGTCACAGAGCAGGTTTTGATGGGGTTTCCTTCCCTTGATGTTTGGTCCGCGGGAGCTATGTTATTTCACTCCTGCCCTCCATGCATTCCGAAAACTGCATAGCGAGCATTCCCTTATCCGCCTCCTGGGGACGCGCCACGTTGGGGTATCACCTCTCCGCCCAGCCAGTACACTTGGCCAGGTCCGTAGGCCACACAACAAAACTATCCTAACCTAACCAAGAACACGGAGTTTCGGCTGGCGGAATTTTGGTGGTCGGGATTTTGGGCTGTCGGAATTTTGGCTGTCGGGATTTTGGCTGTCGGGATTTTGGGCTATCGGGATTGTGGGTGTCGGGATTTTGGGTGCCACCGCAGAATGAGATGAAGCGATAGCGAGCGACGATTCAAACGCAGACGTAGATTCGGGGTTTACATTATTAAGAAAACAGGAGAAAACACTTTCCATAATGTAATTTCCATAAATTTTGCATAATGACAACTGTTGTCAAGAAGGAGTATTATAAAAAATCCATTAAACAGTACTGTTGGTTGCTGTTAAGTTGCCGAGCACCAACAAACTGAACCGATAGAGGGGCAAGGGGACTGTGCGTTCGCTTGACCTAATCCCCTCCAGGAACCCGTAACTTGAGAAGTCATCGGTCACATTGCATAGGCGTAAAATTTCCATATTCGCGGAAGATACATTTAACTATATAAACACGTGATTTTTTCGGGATAATAATAGATTGGGACTCGAGCGGGCCTTCGAAGTGAACGGATGTGCTGCGTGTGCGTTCCGCAAATGTGTTCGTTTTTTACGTGTTTTGCATGCGTTTTCTGTCGGAATTGTTGCGATTTCACGGTTAATAGCTGTCACGTGTACAGATTAAGTGCAGGCATCGGGTTGTTTCGCGTAATTAATAGGCTGAATTAATCGGTGATAGCCATCGGCGTGTTGTGCAGTGCCTCTGTGTGTTGTGCGTCCATCTCTATGGCTTCCGATAGTTTATTACTACTTAATGGGCGGTGCTGAGGCCAAGGAATAGAGCAGATTGATTTGACTTCCTTTAGACGCAAGTAGGGCAGAGATAGGGTTGCGATTTGTGAATCGGGCAGGTGTCGGTTCCGCGGCAGCGAAAGGGACGCCTTCCTCATGTTCAAAATGGTGGCCTCAGCTACAAGCTCAGCGACCTAGAACGGGAAAAAGGACGAGGACAAGTTGGCCAGGGAACGAACGGCTAGAACCCGGAAGGAAGATGAAGACGATGAGAGAGGAAAAGTGAAGAAAGAAGAAAGAAGGAAAAAAAGAGGGGATGCGACCCCTTAGCCGGCCGTTGTCATGGAGGGACAACAGGTAGGCACCGGCAGGACTGAAGGGAGTGGGACAGGGACAGAAGATGCGGGAAAGAGATAGTCAGAATGCACCACACGATATCGCGGGCCCGCGATGGAATCACGACGGGGCGCCTCAATCAGCCAACCCGACCGACATCCGGCACAGAAGACACCTAGCTTGGAATTAGTTTCGTTTAATTAGTTCAAGTAGTCTATTTATTCACTTTAACTATTTAATTGTCTGCTATCTATTTATCTATCTGTTTATTTATTTATTTACTCACTTATCGCAATCTATATTACTTTATTCTATTTCATTCTATTTTATTTTATATATATATATATTTTTTTTTTCTTGATTAATACTAATCCAACCCTCCCTGGAGATGGGGACAGTAGAATACGTCTCCAGCGACCTCGGCTTGTCGTAAGAGGCGACTAAACAGGTTCCGCGCGGGTGCCCCTGGCGATAGGCAAATTTTCTTCCTGCCTGCTTATTACCCCTTCTGACACCCTTTCTCGGGAATCGGCTCGCCACAGACCTCCGATCACGGTCCCGCGAAGGGAGGAGGTTTTGTCCAATTCGGACCTCTAATTTCCCACATTCGATAATCTGCTAATACTTCAAGCTCTGAAATCGAATTCCGATATTTAAGTATTAAATTTCGATCTCTCAAATTCCGAACTTTAAATTAAAATTTCCAACTCTCAATATGGCCTACAGACGCCTCACCTTTTACTAACCGCAACAAATTAAGAAACTAAATGCAATCCTATGTAATTCAAGAAAGTAATTATAATTTAATTCAACAACTTTAATTTCAACTTGATTCTTGATCCTTGGACCGGATTTCCATCCAATTCACAGAATTATCATGCGAAGTGTCAGACGCCAAAGCCGAAACTTGAACTTGCGGACCTAATTTTCGACCCCCAATCTTAAATTTTAATTCATAATTCTCAATCGCTCCGCTTAGTGAGCCTAACTTGTATCTCAAACGCATCTATCCTTCAGCGTATGTGCTTCCCGCACCGTCCCTGTGGATCCGCTGCTAGTGCGCAGAATCTTCCAGGCTAGCCCGAAACTCGCGATGATCCTCGATCTTTCAACGAAATTTGAAACACCCAAAACAAATTTCTCTTTCTCTCTCGTACACGCGCTTCCCGTCCCATTCTGAGCGTGGTACTCTTACACCTTCGTGGGAGTATAGATCTATCTATCCCACTTGCAGCATAGGTTTTCTCTTCTCTAAGCCAACAATTTCGGAACTTCTACCTCGTGTTCACATATTCGCTCGGAGTCAGAGGTGGCTCTCCTAAAACTCGGTAGCGTAGGTCTTACTTCCAGGAAATCGGCGCTCAATTATAGGCCGCAACGTTAGAAACGGATTCTGCAAGGATAAAGCACAGTTTCTGCAGCACTCAGCGATAATACAAAGTAGGCTGCAACGTAGTCCTCACGTACCGAAGAAAAAGCTTGACCAAACAAGTCGGATAAAAGTCTTCTCTGAGGTCCGGCGGCGTGGATGCACAACCTCTCGGGGATGATCTTCAGGTCATTCAAGATCGGTATGTGGCTAAATGAGACGAAGCGCCGTCGGTTTTTGAAAATAGCCTACCGTTAAAGGAGAGGCCTTCAGTTGCGCACTATATGATTGCGCACTATCTCATTGCACATAGCTCCTTTCGACACAGTATTATTGTGCACAGTAAGAATTGGGCACAGCTCTATTGCGCATGTGCAGAATATTACACAGTACAGTTGGGCACCGAAAAAATTGCGCACAGTATCATTTGGACACTGAATTAAATTTGTACGCGTGTTTCCCTTCTTATATCGTGATTTATATCAGGTTATGCGTGTTCCGTCTGACATGGTTAAACCTATGGAATATTAATATATAACCTAACCTAACCGCAATTGCACGTATAAATAAAACATGAATACAAGACATCGTCAAATTCAGGAACCGTTATTTCACAAACTGACAACAGTCCTAGTTAGAATGGCAGACAACCCTGTCGTACACAATAATTTCATAAAAATTGATCTTTCGATTATTAACATTTTGAATTTATTATAAATCCCTGATTGCTAACTATTCTTAATATAGATACAACAATTGGTAAGCCTAAAACAGCTTCACAAACTGAAAAAATCAAATAATATGTAAATATTCCAATTGATACTGTGCGCAACCTTTACGGTGCCCAACTGTACTATGCGATAATCTGCACGTGCGCAATAATACTGTGTCCAAAGGAGCTGTGCGCAATGTGATAGTGCGCAATCGTATTGTGCGCAACAGAGCCGCTCTCCCGTTAAAGCGGAGGTGCGGCGATGTGGATGCACAACCTTCGCGGATGGCTGAACGCCTTTAGGCCATCCGAGACCGTTGGGGCGAGAGGGAAGCATTGTCGTGACTTACACCGACATTCTCCAATATGGGCCCATGGGTTCGCGGGAGGTGTCGGTGGCTGGTGCGGAGAGAGCTTTTAGAGGGTATTGTGGGGTGCTGTAACGATCCAAACCAGAATTCGCATTTTTTCAGAATTCGATTAGTAAGCACCTCGTGAGTCCCACACTGCCCGGGTCTACTCCCTAACCAGGAGGTGGTCTGCGTACGTAAATGTATTTCCTCTCTGTCAAACAAAAAACAAAAAAAATAATGGATTTTTTATAATACTCGTTCTTGACAACAGTTGTTATTATGCAAAATTTATGGAAATTACATTATGAAAAGTGTAAAAACTCTCCTGTTTTCTTAATAATGTAAACCCCGAATCTATCTCTACGCCAATGCATTCAACTCGCCGCTCGCTATCGTTTGATCTCATTCTGTTTCAATGTCTATCCTTGGTGACGTTCGTCACGCGATAGATTTGCGAATGTAAGGGCCTCAGCCAATAAACATAATACGTGTGACTGGAGGCAGGTCAACGAATTTGATTGGATAGCAACTTAGTTGCAACGAACAGTACTAGCCAGTGATGCCAGAATCGTGGGACGTGGGACAAATTTTTACCGTCTCCACGACGTCCAGTGGCCAGTGACTCCTCTACTTCAGTTGTTTCATTTAACACAAGTGTGTTGTGCCACGTGTCCGTGTGAGCTCTCCGTTCGGCACTGGATTACATTATTTTGTCGACTCGTCGATGCTGCTGCCATATGCTTAGACGACTTGAGCATTGAGCCGATAACGTAGAAATGCCGGGAGCAGATGAACCCGGAGAGCTCACACGGACACGTGGGACAACACGCTTGTGTTAGATGAAACAACTGAAGTAGGGGAGTCACTGGGACGATATGGAGAGGATAAAAATTTGTCCCATGTCCCACGATTCTGGCATCACTGGCGCCAGCCAAGCGTGAACATAGAAAAGGACAGATAGTGGAGAAGAGAGAGGTCCAAGGATTCAAAGCGAGGAGTCGAAACGTATCGGTGTGACTAACACTAATTCAACGATA